AGAAAAAAAGGGACAGAAGTCCCCATCAAGGAAAAGCCACCCTCAAGATCCTCCCGCAAGGCCCGCAGCAGAGTCAAAGTAACTTCAAGTCATGCTGATACTGTTAGTGGAGTTGTGGCTTCAAAGGAAGAAAAAGAGGTGAATGAAGCTTTTAATGTTAACAAAGAGACGGTTAGCAAACCTCTTGATCAAATTGGAGAAAAGTGGCTCACTAGCTACTAAGAATGTTTAGAAGACTCTTGTCAACTGGTAGTTCTGGATTTTTGAAGAATTAATCCAAGGATAAATTATTAAACTAGGGGAATTTGACAGCACTTTTGATGGCTATGTATGACTGTTTCAATGGGTCACTTGATATTCAAGTTTCTTACAAACTGTTTAGTTAGTGAGTTTATATGGTTAATATAAGTCTAACATGATTAATTTATTTGTACTTTCTTGTGATCTCTTAAAAAGCTCATCATCTTCTCAGTGGACATCCTGCTTCAATGCTTGAACATGAATTCGAACAAATGATAGAAAGTTCTACTTATTTCAGAAGTGTTTTTAAGCATGGCCATTTTTTTTTTTAATTGATAGAAAGTTCTGTGATGTTATGTTATGTTGTTCCTTATAACTTGGTTTCTACTATCTTGCTGAACATTTGTGATTCGTGACTGCAAGTTGGTTTTGCATTTGCTTCCGTGACTTGGATGTTTTTGACGAGTAGTCTTTTTGGACTTTGATTTCAAAAAGGCTTTCGTCTTGTTGGGACTTGAATGTTTAGGGCTTCAAATTTTAGACAGGCTTTTAGAAATGGGCCTCCCTAGGGCTTCAAAACGGATTTGGTCTTGTCGGGACTTGAATGTTTAGGGCTTCATATTTTAGATAGGCTTTCAATTCAAATATGGGCCTCTTGAGTTGACCCATTGACCATCGTTGACGATCATAATTACCCTTTTTCCTGGGAACTTTCCCATAATCATGCGTGATGATTTTTTTTTCCCTGGGAAAGGTTATAAAGGAAAGGAGGCATCTTCATCTTTGCCCATACCTTTTCGCGCCAAATGTACATCTTTGGCGCCAAGAGAAGTAAACAAGATAAAACAGTTTAATTCATGAACAGGGAATTGAAAAATAAGTAAAAAAAATCAGTCCCTATCAAGATTTGGAATCTGAAATTTCTGGGACATGTCAAAATTGGACGTTTCCTCAAGCTAAGAACAAAATGTCAACATTTTCCTCGAAAGATCAGGAGGAGGGGAGGAGGACTAGGATTGAGAATCAGAGTGATTGACAAATGACATCCATTGTAATTCTTGCAAGTAACCTCGCTTTGGGCCCATGTTACTATATAATGATAATAATCCAACCATGCATTAATGTTCATAGGTTTGTTGTTGGCAAATATGTCAATGTTAGTATTTGCTTCAGATCTCGCAAATAGACTCATGACCTGTTTTTTACCATTACTTGTCGGTCACCAACTCATTTGTCATAGAAAATGTATTTATCATATACGTGGTAATTGTCTTTGTTTTCACATTACACTGTAATTAATTATAAATCGCGTGACGCTGATTTTTCCTCAAATATAGTCTCGTTTGGTTCTCTTAGCATCGACCGCTTTGTTTTCAACGACATAAGTCTCCCTCGTACAGTTTGATAACATATAACTATGAAAGTGTTGTTTGGTAAGAATAAGCATTATTCTCTATGTAGGTGATTATCGTAACAAATCAAGTCTCTATTTATACCAACCATTCTTCTATATATACACTTATAGATGAAAAACTTTTGGTCTTTTGATGACACAGGCCACTTTCTAATTCATCCCTTAGTGAGACAACAAAATCTTGGGTTCTGTTTTGAAAGTAGCTTTCCAACTATTGTCTCGATCGCAATAGCAGAAAAAGCCTCTTTCGCTTTTCAAATTATTGCTGAGCTCCGGAAAAACTGGGGTTTCAAATTATATTAGAAATGGCGGTGACAATTTCAAATGCTTATGTGAGTGCACAATCAGTATGATTAATCACTTTAATTAGTAGATGAAGAAATGTTAATCTAATAGCCAGGAGTAGTCTTTTCTCGATTGTTTTTACTTTTTACTAGCTATATCGTAGCCATTAATCATGATTAACAATTGACCTTTTTGCTTTTGGATTTTGGTAAATTACGTACCTATACTATTCAACTATTCTACCTTTTGCCTAAATGATTGCGGATCAATCTTGACAGAGGCGCGATGGATATGTTTAACTGAGGTAAATGCATCTTGCCTTGCCTCCACTTGGGTCTTTGCCGAAATGATATTCTAATAATATTCTCCAGCGTATAAGAAGGGGTATCGAACTCGGATGTAAGATTACGGAAACACCATCTTGGCCAACTGACTTAACTTAAGACTTGTTTTATGAGTTGGACAAATATAGATATTAATTCCGCTTGGGTCGTTGCCTTTGTTTTCTTTCGACTACAAACTTTATATTGCTTTATCTTATTGCTTAACGTCATGAATAGTTGACGATCCCCAATCATTTCTTGATTTCTCATAACAAGTAATGCATATGTATAGCAGCGGAGAGCAAGAAGACTACAAACTACATGACGTTTTGTGATTGCTGTATCTTATTATTATTTCTTAACCAATATTTTAAATCTCAGCCATGTCTGATTATCGTAACTTCTGTCTTTTTAATTTGTTTCTCATTAGCCGATTGGATCGTCTACGTAGCTTATAATTATCTTATTTGTTTGTGTCCAATTGGGACAAAGACCCCTTGGACTTATCTAGTTATATATTGCAGATAAAATATGAATTATATGATACATATAGTTTTGACTTTTGCGTTGATTATTTAAATTTTTTAATTAAATTTATAAATAAACTCACAACAAAGCATGCATTTTGGCTAATCTAGGTAGCTGTAAACACACATAATTTTGTTTTGGTAGAATTAATAATGGGATATTAATTAAAAACAAATTAAACTACTAACCAACAACAAGTATGTAAGACAAGCTTGGTAGCTAGATACAACCGCTAGCTAATTAATCAGCGTAGATTTAATGATAATAATTGTTGATTAGGGCCATGACATCCCTAGCTATCTCATAATCTAATCTCAACCACCCATTAAAATATAATTAATTAGAAGATTAGGCAAACCCTTTATTAATTAAGTAGTATATAATTATGCTTAGTTAATTTTCTTTCTAGCGGGCTTTTGCGGACAAGTATTATCACTGTCTGCAATGAAATTGTATTTGTACGTAAGCTGTAAGCCTGTAACTGGAAGTATATGGAACGTACAACACAGAGATGCATGTATATGATGTAGACAAAGCCAAGGGCAGTCTTCATGTGATGTATCAGATTGTACGTACACAGACGTACAGAGAGACTCACATGTATGTATATGTATGCATGGTCGGCTTGGCTGCATGCGCTTTCAAATTTCAAAATACAAATTCAAAACAAAAAACAAATAATTCAATTGAAGATATAACTAGATATCCATGCAAAAGTCCCATCAGCAAGCACCCGAATTGCACTTTCCTAACGTACGGTTGTGATTTGTCTATAAGCAGCACGGGCTGCCTTTTTTTATTTATTTTTACATTTGTTCTTTACGGGGTCGACATTTTGAGTAACTTTTAACCTTAAAGATCAAGCACTATTCAATCATAAAATGGAGCTCATCTGCATGATTTGGTTCGTGATTGCCAATATTTTCTTTTTCATATAAAAAGAAGAACAATCCATATGTATGAAATATCTATTAGAGGTACTACTATTTTAATGTATGAAAAGGAAATTAAACTCGGATACAAGAGGACGGACACATACGTCGACCAACTGAAATAAAAAGAGAAATTATAAACTTTATTTTTTTTTACCCATCTTCTATTAATTGACGACACGTCATTCTCCTATCCTCTTTGAAAGCAGGCCGCGTTTAATGACCAAAATGACCCTTCAATTGTTTGGAAAATATGAAATTGCCCCCCGGTGAATTGGCCTTGTGATCCACACCACACCATGTGCACGTGAATATAAGAATTTTTGTGTTGATGTCGGGTCCTTTTCAAGGAGAACACGTCATCCGCGCCAGCCCGTGACCGTTAGGGTAATTTGGTCAGTTCAGACTTGAGGGCGGCTAAATGTACAGTGGCAATCTTGTGATTTTGTCTCTTTGAAAGTGACTTTTTGGGAACAAAAATTCCTTTATTAATACTTCTCCTCACAAACGGACAAAGTCTCGGCCAGAATCCCTTGTCTGCCACTGCCAGCATTATTTGAAAAATAGCCCAAATTGTTAAAAAAAAATTGCATAAAATAATATTATGTTTTCTTGAAAAATGACAGTATGATAATTACTATTATGTATACGATTTTAGTGAAATGCTGGATAAATTAAAGAAAACAATGAAATAAAAATTAATAATTATATTAAACAAATGGCCTTAACTATTTTGTTTTTAATTTCAAAATATAATAAGGGTATTAATTAGCTTTAAAAATTTGAAAAATAATTCTGAAAATGAGCAAAAAGGGGAAGGGTAAAGAAGGGCAAAATTATCATAATTCATAACCCAAAAAGTTAGGGGCATCTCTACATCAAAGAGAGGAGTGAGTTGAGCTAAAAATAATATTATTATAAAGTTTACTACAATACAAGGCCAAAGAAGACCTGGTTCTTGTGTTCATATTATGCCAACAAGAACTCTCTCCACCACAATTGAAGGAGAATTTTCTGGGTTTTGTCTTCCTCCACTTGCAACAAAATCCCATCTTTTCTGTGCCTTTTTTTTTCTTCTTCTTTAGTTAAATCAATTTTCAAGTGCTAGCTTACTAGGTAGTCTTGCTGCTTTAGAGAGAGAGAGAGAGAGAGAGAGAGAGAGAGCACCAAGAACAAGATTAGTGGGGAAAGAAAACAAAGGAGAGATATATAGTTTGGGAAGTAAGACAAACAAGTGATATAAAAATCTAGCTTCCTTTTTATCTGTATCTTCCTCCAATGTCAATTATCACAGGTAGTGCGGCTGGGAGTTTCTCTTCAGGAAACACTGGTGGAGAAGAAGTTCAACAGCAACAACAACAAGAGCTTTTAAATCATGCAAACTTTCATGGCTCAAACTCCTTCCTTTCAACAACACCACCAAATATCAATAGCAATGGTACTCAACCAAAGCAACCTACCCAAGCGAAGAGGAAAAGAAACCTACCAGGAACTCCAGGTATAATTCAAACTTTCCTTTTTCATTTTGAAGGTCTTTTTTAGTCTCATGTCATTGAATCACATATTGAAATCAAATGAAAATTTGAAGTTGGGTAGAAGCTAGTAAGAGCTCTAGGCATAATTGAGCTTTTCTGTTCACATGCTTAATTTAATCTTATCTTGTAATTATTTTGAATTAATTCTACCAGCCCTTTTGTCAACATATGCATGCTTGCATATATCTTTTTTGAAATTATTTTTCAGTTCTTCAAACAGATTGGATTTTCATGAAGGAGAGCCGTAGATTCTTTATTTCCAGACAAAGAGAAAACGATGGGGTCAGAAAGCATGAACTATGCATTATTGATGTCTAAGTAGTTGAAAGGGTTCAATTATTGGTTTGCTGTTTTACAATTATTGTAGTAAAAGTACTATTAGCTAGCTTGCCTTGACTGGTCTCTCCCGACTTTTTTTTTCCTGTGTTAGACTGTTTCAAGTAAAGCATATCTTTTCAGTAAATACAATTTCCCTCGTGACAATCTACAATTAATGAAATGTTCCACATCTTTCTGTGCATTTGAGATTCAAAATCTATATAAATATGCAGACCCAAGTGCTGAAGTGGTTGCCTTATCACCAAAGACCCTGATGGCCACCAACCGATTTGTGTGCGAAATTTGCAAGAAGGGGTTCCAAAGGGACCAAAACCTGCAATTACACAGAAGAGGCCACAACTTGCCATGGAAGCTTAAGCAAAGAACAAGTACTGAAATCATAAAGCGGGTCTATGTCTGCCCCGAACCCTCTTGCGTCCACCATGACCCGTCGCGTGCACTTGGGGATCTTACCGGCATCAAGAAGCACTTCTGCCGGAAGCATGGTGAGAAAAAGTGGAAATGTGACAAATGCTCCAAGAAGTATGCGGTGCAATCGGACTGGAAAGCTCATTCAAAGACCTGTGGTACTAGAGAATACAAATGTGACTGTGGAACCATCTTCTCCAGGTAAAATTAATATCCACATTCTATATGTCTGTTTAATTGTTACAATTTCAACAACTCTAATAGGTTTTCTTAATTGTACTCAAATGCATGTTGTGCATGCATGAACATTTAGATTTTTTCCAACCTATACTTGCCGGCCCCTAATCAAGAAACTTGTTTGGTCTTGTTTTTTTGTTTTTGTTTTTGTTTTTTTTTGCTCTGGCCGATTTTTAATTAATACTCAACGTAAGTTTCTATTTTGTTGGAGGAGGTCTCTGAACTCAAATTGACAATTGTTAGTGTTCTCTATATTGTGCAGAAGAGATAGTTTTATCACCCACAGAGCTTTCTGTGATGCCATAGCTGAAGAAAATAACACAGCAAACCAAGGAGTGTTAATGTCCAACAATATTAACATGGGAGCACCAATCTTACAAGGTCAAGTTTCCAACAGCGACCTCATCAGCCCTTCCTCCATCAACAACAGCAACAAAACCACCAACAATCCATCAACAAGATCAGGCACAACATCTGATCAATTCAACCATAATTTTGATACCAAAATCCCTTTATCCTTAGTGCCCCAACAACCCTTGCCAATGTCCTCAAAACCCTTAAACATGTTACCAAGAAGCCTAAACAACAACAACAACACTTCTTCATCATCACCATCACCACTGCTCTTCGAATTAAGTCGCGGGCATGGCCTCCCCAGCTCATCAGGCCACTTGTCCGCCACGGAGCTGCTCCAGAAAGCTGCGCAAATGGGTGCAACCATGAGCAGCACTAGCCCTAGCCCTAGCGGTACAACAATCACAAGCATGGCACCCTCAACATATGGTACAACTACTGCCGGTGGGTACAATGTGAACCCCTTCATGCAGCACAGAGATCATCATAACGTCAATGTTGGTCCACAATTAGAGAACTCGTTTTTCGGTGCTAATAATTACGCCCAAATGGGAATGTATGGCGGGCTTTTATTCGATCCTCATCAAAACAATGGCTTGTTGAAGAACATGGAGCAGGACAATAATGGAAATTCAAGTAAACTTGGGTTGAGGGGTACTAATGTGAGTGGAGGGGATACGTTGACGGTTGACTTTTTGGGGATCGGAGGGTCAGCAAATGTCAATAGACCAGAAGATTTTCATGGTCAACAAAAACAGCAACATGACCAGCATCAGCAGCTGCAGCAAGATCAGTTGGGGTTCGGAGGAATTGATGATGATCACCTAAGAATGCAAAGGTTTAATTGAGAAGCCAGCGTGAAGAATAGTGTTAGCTTTCAAATTTTGTACTAGAATTTCAGATGTTATGAGATCCAGTGGTAATTTTTCAGTTTCATCCAACAGAAATGAACTGTTTTGATCTTCTTTCTAAAGCATTTCATCTATGTCGGTAAAAGTTTTTAACGTACGACATGTGGGTAAAAAGTGTTATTCACCATGAGAAGACGTGTGTTTAAAACGGGGTGCTGTTTGACTGAAAAGAAGGGTGGGTGCTGAATTCCACTATTTTTACGACATGTCGTACTAGTACGCACTACCACCACCACTCGTTTGGTTGGATATAATATGGCTTGAACTACTAGTGCTTCAACAAAAGATAAACAATGCCGGCATTGCCACACTACTTTCATGCATGCAAACATGTATGCTTCAACCAGAGATGCATCACCATACAATCCTCCGGCGGCAACTGGAAAGAAAGGCCTCTGGCAGACCAATTTGCACCGCTAGAGTCCGGCTTTAGGCGGCGGCTTCTTGTTGGTTTAGGGTCAGCTTCGTTGGTTGTCCTTGGTGCCAATTTTGTAGGAACCACGAGTTTTCTTCTGGGGTTGTCGCCAGAAAGTAGTAGGAGTCTTAAGCTGGATGTGCTTTATCCAATAGGAGGGTACAGCAGGTGCATTGACACAAATGAAGGATTTGGTTAGTGTTGTCTTATTATTATTATATCATGTTCGATATAATTTGTGTTAGATAAATTTGCTGAACTTATTCTTATTCGTTGCATATATTGGACGTGACAGAATTTATATACCCAGCAAGTTGGGTTGGAGATCAAACACTACTATATCGAGCAGCTGAGAAAAAGGAATTTGAAAGATCACTTGACCCTCCTCCTTTGAACATTAATACCAAGTCCAGGGCTGATACTGGACGCCGTGGAAATGTTAGTGAACCTGTCGTGGCATTCGGCCCGCCGGCCAGTACGGGCGAACTCAACGTTAGTGTCATTGTGTCCCCAGTTCCTCTTGATTTCAAGTAAGCAAGTGAATAAAATTTATGGCAAACCATAAAAGTCTGAATATGTTAAAGCAAGTACCTTTGTTTGTGTAGAATTGAAGCATTCGGAGGACCAAAAGAGGTAGGGGAAGCTGTGGTGAGGACTGTCGCGGGATCTGGCAAGCGCCCTGATGTGAGGGGAACTTTGATAAGAACAAATTTGAGAGAAGATAGTTTTAAAAATATCAAGTACTATGAGCTTGAATTCAGAGTTGAGAGCCCCTTGTTTCATCGGCATAACATCGCCGTCTGCTGTGCTCGTGGTGGTCGGTTATTTACTCTTAATGCTCAGGCACCGGAATCAGCATGGCCGGAGGTGAAGTCCGACTTCCATAGAATCGCAGAATCATTTAGTCTCACCTCTTGAGATCAAAGGCCGGCCTATAATAAGGTTTTGTTTCTGGGTGTACTTTAGTTTTGTACAATGATAACAGAGACCATTGGAATATCAAAATACACAAAAGAAACGTCTGGAACCAATCAAATGGCATAATTTACTATCGCTTTTTCATTAACTAATGGAACAAAGGCTACAATGTTGTTCACGGTATGAGGCATTAGCAAATAAAATCAGACAGCTTAAAATTGTGACTTTGTCTGTGCAGGAAGTTACAATATTGAACCTAGAACATTTTATACATTGAAAACTCATCAAGGCATTTAGTCACCCCCTCTAATGAGATTTCCTTTCTCTAAATCAGAGATACTTGGATAGATTCAAGTACAAGTGATCTGTCTTCGCTTAGTCATTTTCTCCAAATTCTCGGAAACTGCTGCAGTCAAATTTGGATCTTCAAATCCAAGCTCTGCGCCGAATCTGCACCAGAAGAACCAAAAGGCCTTAAATATTTACATAAAGCAAAGCAAAGACTGGAAGGTTGGCGTGGTGAATATACAGAGCTTGATGCCACTGGAACACAATGCAAGTGGCCAAAGTTCTTTTTTATAGTTTTCTTTTTCCTAATAGAAATTGAAGGAACAAGAATGCTGAAATACAAACAAAGAATATGATGTTTGATTTGCTTACTTTGGATCAAGTACCAATTTCTGAATCTCCTTAATAGCTGAACTTGCCGCATAAAGTGATATCTTTCCTACCTGCGTTGCGTTAGAACCCAATCAAATATTCAGAATAATTCAAACAAAATAAATAAGTCCTAGATTAGGCCATTAGACAAGATGGGAGCACAACATTTCTAGAATTAATAGAATATAATAAGGAAAAAGAAGGAAGGCACGGAATACTTCTAAGTAAAATTTCCCTTGTCCAACCTCCAACACCTGCAGCTTTGCTTCATGGTCATTTGGAAGACAGCGGATTTCATCAGCTAGTCTTACAGCCTCACCGAGGCTTTCAGGAGATAAGAAATCAAGACCCAGCTGAACAGTTGACTGAAAAAGATAAATACATAAAGATTAAATGAATTTATTAAATTACAATGGTAGCCCCCACACAAGAAATAATACTAACCCAAGCTTTGAATAAATTACTCTGTCAAGTTAATCTGAACCCTTCACATTTTCATTGGATTTTCCGGAATTTTCACTTCAAAAATATTAATTTAGCCACAAAACAAACTACCTGAAGATTCCTGACTTGAAAAGGGCATCCAGCAGGGATAAAAACAGCTTGCCCCAAATTCTGTTCAAAGGACCATGGCTCAATTCCTGATTTTAAAAAGAAAGAAAAAAAGAAAAAAGAAAAAAAAAAGCTCAGACTTAACCTGAATGCTGAAAAGTCTCAACTGACTAGTGAGTAAACAACTACAGCTTTGCTTATAGACATTTTAGGAGTCCTGCTAATTAAACCAAAATGGTACACTAGAAATCGGCACAGTGGATAGCTACTAGCATAACTATCACCCTAACATTTTTCCTAGGGATCATCTCAGTGGAAAATGTGAGTAGGAGTTGTAAAGATCAAAAATAATTTGTTAGAAAATAAGGAGGTGGGGAGAAAGAGGAATGTGAATTGGAGTCAGGCTACTCAGACCATTGTCTCCGCACATGATAATTAAGAGGAAAATGTTAGTCATCCTTACCAAATTCTTCCTTCAGTTTTCTTTTATGATACCCATTCAGGAACAATGTTCCATCATAAAGGGGCCACGTTACCTGAAATCCAAAATGTAGGATCAAAATGTGAGCCAACTATGTTGATTCAACTGAGGAAAGGTAGGTAATGATATTTATGAGATAAACTTACAAAATTATCTGTTTCAGTGTTGAGCTTCCCAAATTCTTTCCAATGCATTCTCAGATACTCAGTCAACTTCGGAACATCCTTTCGACGGAAAACATCCCAAAGAACTCCCATATGAGTTTTTTCAGAGACATCTCCACCCTCTCTTTCTGACAGTTCACAACTTCTGGTGTCCCCTTCAACAGTTGGAGTAGTTTCATGCCCATGATCTGCCACACTCTCATCTTTATCTGTATCCGACCTTGCCCCATAATCATTCTCAACACTCTGACTAAGAAGTGATAGATCAGGATTCGTATCTTCTCCCAAACCCATTTTCAGATCCCCAGGTGATTCTTTAACTTCAGATTCCTCCAAGGATTTTTGTGTGCTCTCAATCTTTGTCTTCTGCAAACCTTTTGGCTTCACCTCACATGCATGCACCAGCAGATATACCTGACCATAGCAGCTCAACAGGTGAAGATATATTTATTTGATACAGATGAAATATTAGTTCATGAAACATGGAAACCAAATATTCATCTATAATTAAAGATGCAAAATTCGTAAGTTTAATCCTTAATATAATGTTGCACCTAAAATTATCCACAAATTGCATACTATTTGGTAAAAGTTCTGACATGGATACACATAGTATGAGAGAGAAAAAATGCATTTCACTCTATGTGTTTGACTCCTTCAATAATCATGGAAACGTTATCACTGTTCATGTATATTAAATCGTCTTACATCAAAATAATGATTACAAACCAGTCATGATTGCTAAGCAAAAACAATAGGGTAACTACAATAGACTAAGCAATTCTCAACTATCAACATCAATGACCAGAAATCAACAAGGACAGAGAACAACTAACCATGTCACGCATATTGAAATGGAGATTGGTCACGGAGTTGCCTCCACTAAGTTCCTCATAGGTCCCATAAGACATAAAAATCTTAGGTCCAACGTCATTTTGCAAAGAATAGTGAGGCAATTTTGCAGCAACATTTAAAAGACCAAACTTGGAGTGAATATACTCAAGTAAAGGCAGTTTGCTGATAAATTCAGGTCTCTGATATAATAAGAACTCTTCAGATGCGCTGGGAGAAGGCCAGTCCTTTAATTTCAACATTTCTGGACAACCATTTTCATTAATTCGTCCCTCGGAGTACCCTTTGATGAATTGACCAAGTTCAACGTCGACCTGCCATCATGTCAAACCACAGAGGTATATTTTAGGATTATTATAAAATACAATCCAAATCAACTAAATCATTCATTAGAACAAGAATTGGTTGTAAAATGCTGATACATAATTGAAGGACTTGGAGCGAACCTCAGACCAGTCAAAGCAATCTATGGCCTTCACCATTCTGTCCTCATCCTTCAATTTCTCATCTGCTGTATCCCGAATCCCTCTCCATATAACCATTGGATCCCAGCTTGAAATTGATGAGCTATCAAACACCTGCTTAACAATGATGGGCTCACCCCCGAGCCAATGCCTTTTAAAACGGTCAATTCCATCAGATTTAAGATCTTCAGATGAAGGGCAGTACAAAAAATTATTGTTGTCCTCTCTATTAGCATACTGGCAAATTCTTGGATCATCATGCCCAAAATTCTCTACGCTGACAGCATCATTAACCCTACAGCCACTGACCATCTCCTCTGCATTTTTGACAAGTTTTGCAACCCAGTTCATCTTAAAGATGCGGCTTAAATTCAACGATGAATAACCACAGCCACCACACTCCTTTGGAGGGCAAGGAATACTTCCATCACTGTTGGCTTTCCAGTCAGAAAACTTGTCAGATAAATTTAGTCTAACTTTAGACAGTTTTGGTTGCTGCAACTTGGTTTCTTTTTCTTGACTTTTCTCACTAATCTGGTTATCTTCCACTTCTCCTTCAACGCCAGGCATAGATGCTTCTCGAAGATCTCGACAACAGTTAAGGCATACATCATACGCACAATTGGAACAGTGCCAATGATAATCAATAATGGGAATCCTACAGAAATTGCTGCATGAAAACACGTCAAACGAAATGTTCTTTAGAACAGGCAGCACATATTTGTGACAGTACAGATCTGCAATAAACTGACCTCAGATTGCAGACAAGTCCCCAAAAAAAGTAATAACCTAAGAATCTACAGTAACATCAAAAGTTCCTTCAGTTTCAGGAGAATCTTTTTGGATCAGTTTAATTATGACAAACATGGCTGAACTCTGTACGACAACATGTGGGTAGGCCTGTCTGAATTTTGACATGGACAATTTAAAATATTTATTTGTTTATTATACTTTCTGGATATTAAGAACTTTACTATACAATATGAAGGGGTAAAATAATGAAAATACCAGCACATCTGCTCATCTGCATTCAATTTTGTCCGGACAAGATCTATATCGGTTCCTGCAAAATATATACACATACAAAATGGTCAAACAATGTACAAATGACATGCAAATATATTGTATTCAAAGTACCACGAAGATATTAGAGCATCTTACCACGAAGCTTTTTTTCCAGCTCTACTTCAAAGGACTGTTCTTGATGGATTTGCTTAACTATAGGAAGTACTGAGGACAGCAAGCGGTGGAGATATTGCAACTTGTCTAGAACAGGGATCTCTCTTATCCTCACCTGCATAACAGAAACATCAGACTTACTCATTCACCATAAGCTGATTGTACGCTAGAAAATTAACCATAAGTTTCTCAAAAGATTTAAACTTAACGATGTAACTTGTACAAGACTCTTTATATGAATTACCTTTACCAAATTATCTCTACGCAGGCACACTCTGCAATTACAAGTACCACGACATGCAGGACAAGACCTCTGAATATCTTCTAATGGGATGTCCGAGTACCTAACAGTTAAAGCATGAATACAAAATATGGACATGAAACTTAATTACTTAAACATATGTGTCTTTTTAAGGAGACTAAACCTCACCATGTTGAAATACAGCCGTCACAGTATCCTCTTCTATCACACCTGAGGCACCAAATGACTGTGTCTCTATCATTCCTCCGACACTGATGGCAAGTTTGGCCACCAGTTTCTTCTGAGGATTCTGAGCCTTCCTGCAATACATTTGCCTCAGTATGAGAAAACATATGAGTAGAGATTATCCATTTCAAACTTTTTTCTAAATATACAGCTACACTGAA